GTGGCTCTTTAATATTATTGAATAAAAAACTAAAATTTAAGGAACGAAGAGATATTGTGAGCCTCTCGGTTGAGCGAACAATAGAAATTGCCTGTGTGGAACTGGACCAGCTTGTTGTATTGAGCGTATACAGACCTCCATCAGCATTGTATGATTGTTTTGAAGTTATCATGGATGAAGCTCTTAAAAAAACATACACTACAGGCAAACGGTTGATTGTCTGTGGTGACTTTAATATTGATTTATTAGAAAAATCTAGTTCATGTACTAAAATAAAAAATTTATTTCAATCATACAATCTGAAAAACTTATTCATTGAGCCTACTAGAATAGCTGCCACTTCGGCCACTTGTATTGATAATATATATACAGATATTATACCACAGAAAAAACAAATTATTAATAAACTAGATAGTGATCATTGTGGCCAGTTGATTACATTTCCGTATCAGCTCAAGCAGGTGACGAAAAAACACATCACTGTTATACCAAAAACTGCTAATCGTGTGGAACGTTTTAAAAATCAATTAGATAGAAAATTGTGTTATCTTAAATATAAAGACAGTCCAAATAATTTATATAATGATTTTTTTAATATATATTGCGATGAATTTAATAATGTTTTTGTACCCAAAAAAATATGTGTTAATGATGCGGTAAATTTTAGTAAGTGGGCTACGCCTGGAATTCATAAAAGTAGAAGAACACTTTATGAACTTTATAATGAACGAAACTCTAACACTAGTGAAAAATTTAAAGAGCATGTTCGTAACTATTCCAAATTGTTTAAAAAAGTATGCTGCTTAGCAAAATCAAATTACTTAAGTTCAAAGATTAAGAACAGTAATGACAAAATCAAAATGACATGGAATATTATAAACAATGAAACTGGAAAATCCAAAACTCGCGAAAATAATTATAACCTAAATATTGATAATAAAAAGGTTACATCAGATATTGAAGTTGCTAAAGTGTTTGAAAATTTCTTTACTGATATTCCAGTTTCAACTACGAAATCTTTGAACTCTTCCCCCATTGCTGCCGAATCAATCTTAAGAGAAAACGTGAAACCTTGTACTAGTTATTTTCATTTTAAACATGTTGACTTTAAAGATGTAATAAAAACGTTTCACCAATTAAATAAAAAGAAAACCGCGGATCTGTGGGGCAATTCCGTTGATGTTTCTAAATCGGTAATTGAGACAATAGCTCCTATTCTAGCTTGCATATTTAATGATTGTGTTGACTGTGGTGTTTTTCCTGACCTCATGAAATACAGTAAAATTACTCCTTTGCATAAATCGGGAAGTACATCAGACCCCACAAACTTTAGACCAATTTCTGTGCTACCCACCTTTAGTAAAATTTTTGAAAAAATCATGTTAGATCAAATGCAATCACATTTTAATAAATATAATATACTTCACTGTAAACAATTTGGTTTTACACGGGGTCGTTCAACAACCGATGCCGGTGTTGAACTTATACAACAAATTTTTGACGCCTGGGAGAACTCGCAGGACGCTCTAGGTGTGTTTTGCGACTTGTCCAAGGCTTTTGATTGCGTTTTTCATGAAACATTACTCAGGAAACTCCACCACTATGGATTTAGAAATACTGATCTGGATCTTATTGCATCATACCTGAGGGATAGGATTCAGAGGGTTGACATTAATGGTAATAAGTCTCCGGGTTCGCCGGTTAAGATGGGTGTTCCGCAGGGCTCAATCCTAGGTCCTTTCTTATTTTTAATTTATATTAATGACTTACCTTACTATGTAAGAGATAACCATGAGATAGTATTGTTTGCGGATGATACATCACTTTTATTTAAACTCAAACGCAATGAAAAAGTTATTGACGACGTGAACAATTGTATCTCTAAGGTAGTCCACTGGTTCAATGTTAACAATTTATTACTTAATGAAGGAAAAACGAAATGTATGAAATTTGTATTACCTAATGTAAAACAGGTAAAAACCAGTGTGAATGTAAAGGATAGGAATGTGGGCCTTGTAGACACCACAGTATTCTTAGGGATAACTTTAGATTCTAAGCTTCAATGGGGCCCACATATTGATAAATTGTCAAATAGACTTAGCTCTGCAGCATATGCCGTAATGAAGATACGCCAGTTAACGGATGTAGATACGGCCAGATTAGTGTACTTTAGTTATTTCCATAGTGTAATGTCGTACGGAATTTTATTGTGGGGAAATGCCGCCGACATTCAAACTATTTTTGTGCTGCAGAAGAGAGCTATTCGATCAATTTATAATCTTAAACTTAAAGAATCATTAAGAGATAAGTTTAAAGAATTTGGAATAATGACGGTCGCATCACAATACATATACGAAAATTTATTACTTGTAAGAAAAAATATTAATTTGTTTCTTAAAAACAGTGATGTTCACACAATTAATACAAGAAACAAAAATAAACTAACTTTACCTGCTACTAGGCTTCACAAAATTAATAATTCATTTAAAGGTCTTTGTGTTCGCTTATACAATAAAGTCCCAAGCAATATCCAAGAGTTAGCCATAAATAAATTTAAAGATATTATAAAAAAAACACTTATTAAAAAAGCTTATTACAAAGTGTCTGATTATATTACAGACAAAAATGCTTGGGTTTGAACTGTTCCAATCATTCCAACAGGTTTTCTATATTAAATAAATCATAATTGTATTGACGTTGTAACAACATAATGATTTGTAAATGTTGTTACATTAGACTTTTAATGTTGTGGAGTTTTTTTCGCTCGTTTTTCTCCGCAGCTAAAAAATATGTCCATAACGAGTGGTAGGGAAAAAAAATTTTTTGGACGATTCAAAAGAGTTGTACTATACATCCAATTTGAATAAAGATATATTGATTTCTGATTGAGTATTACGTACGAGACATATAACTAACCCGTCGTGCTCCGTGAGCTGTTTGCTTTAAAGCTTTGTCTTGAGAAGAGCTCTGTTTCTATGTGAGATTAGTTTTACCAGGGCTCTTGGTTTAGTGGTCGTTGTTTGACATTTGCGTAGCACCTGCAGCGGGGAGGTAAGTAGCCGTCCGCAACATGTGCCACTAATTTGTTGGCAGCGCACTCATTACGTGGTCGACGACGCCTGAGGTGTCGCGTACTTACCTATAGGAGCAATTTTGCCAAGTAATTCAATATAAATTGCCGCACGCATAAGGAAGTGGCACAATGTTGTGATGGCGAGCCTCTCAAACACCTCAAACGGGACGAGGAAAGCTAAGTGCTTTTAACCTACCTGACTAACAGGTGCTAATTATTGAGGCACTCGATATAATCGTTGCGTGTTTAATAAGGAAATAAGGTGTGAAATAATTCAATCTACAGATATGAAAGAGGCTCTAGAGAACATCATCAATTTTTTCTAGTAAACTTTTCTTTAGATTTAATCATCAATATGTTTTGATTATAAAGAAATTATTATAAAATACAAAAGAAAACCGAAACAGGATCTTCTATTTAATTGCTTAACATCCTCGAATTAAGGATGGAAAGTAACGAATTAATAAATTTTCATAAAACTTCATTTTGGGCTGAACACTTTTAACCAATAAAATAAATAATTTCTATTCGCTTTGAGTATTTACTACAAATAAAATACAGTACCCGTTTTGAATATAAAATATGTTATAATGTAACGCTTGTAAGAGCATCAATTATCTTTTATTCTATCATTAAACTGTTCCTGTAAATCGACTACCTTACCTGCTGCATCGATAACTAAGTTAAAGTAAGATAGATGACGCGCATTGTAATGAAACTTTTATTACTATCATTACCCAAGGGTTTAATTATCGACTAGGTGCAATTTCTAACAACCCCTAAGTAACAAAAGCTCTTCTAAGTATATTTCTTAATAAAAAAAAAGCTTTTGAAGTTCGTTAGTAAACTGTTAATTTTCAAGATCTTTTTTACTAAAGTGAGATAAAATGAGTGATTTTAATAAACTATTCTTCAAAATGACACGACAACAAAGAATAATATAAAATATTTCTCATTCGTAGCTATGTACAATGATATAAACTCTCAAGAGAAATTAATACGGACTTTTATCTTCATTTTAATTAAAAATGTTATATTTCATCTTCTTGAAAATGTAAACGAATACATTAATCATTCAAAATATTACCTACATTAATTAAATCTTGCCAGATTGTATATTTAATGCGGTCGGTTATGTGTACTTTTATCGTCATCATTATCAGAATGTACCTTTTCATAACATTGCCAAGGTAGGCTGTGTGTAATTAGACTGTAATGGATAATTAATTTAACTCGTTTTGCCAAGAAGCGTGAGCACTTGCTTAATATCTGACATTTTAAAAAATGTAAACCAAATCGGACAGTTTTCCAGATATAGTCGTACAAAAAATGTAACGTGGTGTCACGTGAATAAACCTAATTTAAAGAGCATGTGGAATTGCGGGCCGGCCACGGAGCTCGTTAGTGCCAATGATCCCCGAGGCGGCCCGTAAATCAACTGTTTTACGTCAACACTTTATAGCTCATTCAGGCTCCTCGGTTGCTTTATCACCTTGTTCCTGGCAATACAACATCGACATTCCCCGCACTCCGCTACATCACCGCGTCGAGTTTACGAGGATACCATGATATGACAACACCAATCGGCTGGCACCGCAGGATTTTGATTCCAAATCAAATCGTTAATCATCCGAACAGGTGCAAAGATTGCACTGTTCTTGTATAGTAACTTTTCCAAACCTGATTTCTATACTTGTCACTGTTAAACGACAAGCGAGACAGAGATATGATTCTCTTAAATAAAAATCGAAGAAAGAATGAAGTAAATGCAGTGCAAAGTCATCATTCGAGTGTAGAATTATGTTAATTAGAAATAAACTGTGTATTTTGTTCTGAAGATCACATAAAGTTATGGTAGCGGATTTTTAAAGAATACTGCTGGTGAAAAGTGGACTAGTTTAAAAAAGGGATGTATGTGATTTCGTACCTGTCCGTTTTTGTCCATCTCGTTGTTGGTGAGCTTGACCTTCTCGAAGGAGACGACCTGCTTGCGCAGCTGGTCGCCGCTGAAGGGCGAGTCGGGGTGCGGGTAGAGGCGAGCGGGCGCGGGCGGGTCCGCCTTGCCGGCCACGAGCCACGAGGAGCGGTGGTACGCGTACCGGTAGCGCTTGCCGTCCACGGGCACCACGTCCAGTAACACCGCGTACCGTGCCTCCGTCCGGCACCCCGCGAACGACACGCGCACCGTCGGGAACATGCGTCTGCAACCAAAAAATCCACCCTTCAACTAACGTTCACAACTAGACGACACGGCAGTTGATTTTGATGCTAAGGGTGTCTAACTAGAAGAAATCTGCACATCAAGCATATGCAACAAAGCCGTAATATCGGAGACTTTCAAAAAAACAAGGTACATGTAGCTATATATACCGCTATTCTATGGCGTACTGAAATTGAATATTTCCACAGACTAAATAGCCTACCTAGAAAACTACTAGAGTAACTCGCTTTTTTTCTTGAGTGGCTACAAGGATCTGACCATCTCAGGTACAATCACGCAATAAAGGTCATCTGCGACCAAAACTGCTAAACACATTCATAATAAAACTAGATGTGAAAAAATGCAGATTTGGATAGGATATAAAACAATGGCATAATAAAAAGTCCGTATTGGTACGCACATAGGTATAATCTTGATATATCTTTAACGAATCAGTAAACAATTATTATGATTCAAAGGGAAGACACGTGGGCATTGCGCACCTTAAAATACACATCACGTCAAAATCTTCGGCCTTTAACCACTTTTATGATAAGTTGACAAGCTTACACAAATTTATGCCGACAATAAAGATTAAAATACTTTATACCAGGTGAATTTCAAGTTTTATTGCGACAAATTATAACGACATAAAAAGGTAAAACTTTCAACTATAAATTCTCGACTGCGGCAAAGAAAGGGACCCGTGCGCTAATGACCAAACTCGTAAGAACGGACCGAAAACTAAATTAGACATGAGCCAAAAAGGTTGTAATCCCCAAAAGTGTTTTACGAGAACAAAACACATGCTTGCAATAAAAAAAGATGATTAATGCATCTTCACAAAAACCGCCAGAGATCCGGCCACGGACGGTGACTTTTATAATTACAGGGTAAAACGCGAACTAGGAAATCAAACAAATATGATGTATTCGATTTTAATGCACCCTTAAATGGGCTGAAGCGCTTCCTGCCGGCCGGGGGCGATAACATCTCACCTCAGTTTATTTACGATGCTCTTTCTTAATATTAACATTTTTGGGACCTTAAAAGGTACTTTTATAATTTCGGGTCCCCAAACAAGTAGTAGTCAGCCTGTCAGTTCAGATAACCGTCTAATAACAATTTGTCCGCTGGCCTTAACACGATTAGACATCGTTGCGGTACAGTTGTTTCTATTAGCTTTTCATATCTTTCGAATCGCAAAAGAAGAAAACAATAATTTGCTTGGTTGACGACTCGGAACCTACAATTAATATTATTGAAATCCTAAAGAGTCGAGTAATAAAATCTGGGAGTGAAAGGAAGAATTATTAGCGGTCATAAAACACACACAGGCACAGTGTCAACCATTCTATAAGAAAATTATAATAATAATAAATAGACGAAACCTATAAACTCACGGAGGGCGAGCGGAGCAGCGCGGGCGCAGCACGAGCGACGATAAAGCACAGGTATTGAGGGTCTCTCTCGAGTTAAGCACTAGTCATAAATAAATGGTATTATGGTATGTTTTGAGCGGCGGTTCCGTATCGAGATTGGTCGCTCTCGTCGCGTCGACAATAAGTCGCTGTCAGATGCGTTTATGAGTGTGTCGTTAGGACGCGAACGCCCCGCCACCCAGCGCGGCCGCGTAATGAACTGCATCCATCACGGATAACAATCGATCGCGGATTCCACGGTGCGATGCCCCCGCACTAATTGAACTCGGATGTCAAACATGTGGTCAAACCTCCTTTTTGAAACCATAAAAGTTCGTAACATAAATTATAAAAGCGGGTCGTGAAAATCGTAATAAAATAATGTAATATATTTCACTTATTGTAAATGAAAAGAAGTTTTAATTAATAATTCTGAATTAGATAGTACTATCTAAAGCAGAAGGGCTTAGAAAGCCAATTCCCTTCTTTTTCTTGTTATTTGATAGGTAGGTACATAACAAAATTTTATCATCTACGAATCACTAATTGAAGCTTAAATATGACATAAAATTTACGGATGCTTTTCTATTAATTTTTTATAGCTTTTGCCTCATGATAATAAATTATTTTCATTTTAAAATTATTTACAAAACCCCTTGTAATTTTTTTCATTTCATAACATATTACATATAGGCGAGATTCTTTGTCCAAGGCATTTACATACCTGACAATTAGGTTTACACACAGAACAATAGTCCTTCCTATATAACAGTAATATTATAAAATATTTTTACATTTCTGCAAAAAAGGAGTGTTAAATTATTACAATTAAATTTATTAGTTAACACATAGAACTTTATAGGACTGCATTTTATATGTAGTTTTTATTTAATCATAAATCTACGGTAGGCGTTACGACGACGCACGATATCTTTCATGCAGTCGTTGAAAGGCGTTCGACTGGATGCGTATCTTATGAGAATTATTGATAACATTCATTTCGCAAGCAATTAACTGGGACTTTGCGGGAACAAAGCTAACAATTCGATGTTAACGCGCCGTTTCACGAGTAATAAAGTTGGTAGAGCGATGGCGGTCCACATTTGCATAATTCATTAATAAATGTCCGCTCGCGATGCCCTCAGATAAGCTTAACAAACACCAATTGGAAAACCACACGAAGCGGGATCGTGACTTTTAAGTTCTTCAAACTAGGGTGCATAATCGAACAGCAGGTTAAAATATAAAAAAACCGCGAACTTTCGAAAGCTCGCTACTGTAAATCGCGGCATTAAACGAGTGACCCATTTACAACAGAGCACAAAACTAATTCATACTGAAGCCTGTATTATTCATTCTGTTAACATTATCGTATTGGACTTAAGAGAACCAAACTACTTTCGCAAATATAAGGAGAGGTCTTTGCGATGGCAATAAAGAGGGCGTGCGCGTTTAGCGTTAACGGAGAGCTGACGTCCGCTCCGTGCTCCCGCTTAACGCAGCGCAGGCCCTAAATATAACGTCATTTTGCCACACAATAAATTTCAATAAATTATCTGTGTGCAGGCCTTTAAGCAAGTAGAGCATACATTAACAACGTACGAACAATATAAATGAACTTTGTAAAAATACCTGTGTCATTTTCATTGCATTGACCTCAAAAGGTAAATAAATATACCGTGTGATTACTACTACAGCTATTATCTTGCGGCCAGAAACCGCGATGCGACAGAAGTCAGTACCCAGGAAAAAGGACTAATTTCACTGGGGCAACTGCACCAATTATGGACAACCGCTTCCGGAGAAAGGCGCGAAATTGTTCCACATTTGCCCAACCACCACCCTATTTATTTTGGCTTCTGTGGAAAAATATCTTCATTGGAGGTTATTCTTGTAGTTAATAATGTAAATTACTTGTTAGTTTTGTTTCTTTTTTGTGCCATGAGAAGCTTTGTAAATTGTGCTGGACATGAATTTTAAATGATGATGACAATAGTTGGTAATGTAAATATATTTTTTTAAGTTTGCGAACTTTTGTTTTATTGTTTTATCGAGCTCCAAACTCATGCACTCGAATTCCTTTATTTATGAAAATAAATAAATAAAAGTTTTTAAAAGCAAGGTTTTATTACTTGTTAGCAAAAAGAACTAAAAAGTTAAAAATAATTGAAGTCTGATATGAAATGTACCATTTTATAGGTACATTATGTCCAATTTTTAAATAAAAGCGTGTTACAGCCTTTTCATTTCTCTTGCATACAAAATGTAATACGCTTTTATTAAATAAAAAATTATGCATACATACATGAACCCTGAATACATTACACTCTTTTTTTGGGAAGTCGTGTAAAAAAATGGGATATAATGCACCTATAAAATGAAATATTTCATAGACTTAATTTTTATTAAGTTTTAGTTAAAGTTTTAGTTATTTTTCTAAACAAGTAATAAAAGTTTGTGTCTAAAAATTGTTTTTTTTTATGTTTTTTATTTTCTAGTATTTATGATTTAGAATTTACTATATTTAACCTTTCCTTAACGCCTTCTTCTTTGTGTCTTTTAAATCATATTGTTCCTACAAGTATATGACATAAACAGTCTATCTATCCCACCAGAGGTCCAAATCTAATGGCATTTATGGATATTATCTAGAACCAAAGATACTCGTCAAGACAAATCAAACGAGCCCAAATTTAAAGGGGTTGCGTCGTTTCATTACAGAGTTCTTATGGCCACCTAGCTCCACCATCAGAATCTAGATACTATTTACGATCAGAGTACTTATCCAGACAAATCGAGCCTAATATGAGCCAAACTCAATATGGTTGCATTGTTTCATTATTGAGATACAGTGGCCACTTTCAAACTCAATCATCAGATCAGCTACATGGTACCATATTATTGCATTATCACCAGACTTACATAAGTATGCCAAATTTTAGCTAACTCAGATAATAAGAACTGCACGATAAATGATTTACAAATTTTGAAGCTACATATTACATACGAACTGTGCAAGTTAAAAAAAAGCTTGTAATAATTATAATAAAAGCTACGACTTCAATTTGCAAATCTATGACTTTTTGATCGTAAATGGCCTTATAAATAAATAGTCTTAAAATTTAGCCACAATTAAAATTAATAGACAGCCAAAAAATAATAATACCAAATCTGTGAAAGTAAGAATGATACTCGAAATATGTAATAGAAAATAATACATTTCAGAATTTGCTTTTCTTTTCGCTGCGTCTTATGAATGAACGAGAGAAAAGATGTATTTAAAGCAAGCGAGATACAGTTATCCAACATACTAGAATGTCGTTAATTCATTAAAATAAGATCTAGAGTAATTTTTCTCATTATCGCAGAAACTCAATTAAGAAACATAATAACTAATGGCAAATACAGACGGTTTACCTTTCAGACAGCAAATAACGAGCTTCACAGTGCGTTAATTATTAGAATATGACCTTTTGCTAATTACCATATAAACATTTAAGGTGCCTCGATTCAATTATAATTGAAGGATATTAATCGTCTGTGGTTTTTCTCATTTACAAGTACATTTCTTAGTCGGTTT